AACGGAGCGTTCGATTTTAATAATTCGAAAAACATTTTACTTGTATTGATGAAATGAGCAACTGGTAAAATTTTTATTGGATATATGTACATCAAATTATCAGATATTTTATAGAGATCCTAATACTATGCACACATTTCGTGTAAATTTTTTTGGGTTCCGTACCAAGATTGTTAATTTTCAAGTTTTTTAACATGGTTTGAACAAATGTCCTCGACATTTTCGACAGTATGGAATAACCGATTTGTATGATTGAAAAATCATTCGGTTCGTACTCGATCGCAAAGCGTTTTTGCAAAAGGCAAAAAAAGGTTATGAAGTTTTTGAGAGAACTTTAATCCGATTAGATTAATTCAAAAAACATTTACAGAAAATTTAGTAATTTTGAAAATTAAAAAAAAAACAAAATTTAAAAAAAAAATCAAAGTTTCCAAAAATTCAAATTTCGAAATTTTCATCATTTCAAAAAAAAACTTAATTTTGAAAAGTTTAAGTTAGTTTTTTTTAATTTTTTTTAAAGTTGAATTCACTCCTTCAATAAGAAGTCCTATTATCTAAATTAACATATACATTGATTAATAATCTAAATAATATATACATTAGACCAAATATACACAGAACCTTTCTGGGAACTATAAGAGACTGATATGATTCCAAATTTATTGAACCGATATGGCTTCAAGTATCAAAACGCTTGCTTCCATCTAGTATATTTGTCATTCTCTGAAACACTTTCTTAGACAAAAATATTGTAAAATTTCTGGTTTTATGTTTAATATATTTTTGAAGTTTCTTAATATTGATACATCTAGACTAGAACATTGTGAAGCTTTTTCAATATTTTATTAATAACTTATAAATTACTTTCTATAACTAATTACAGTCTTTGACAAAGTTATAGCTGACTAAATTCTCTAAAACATTTACTCAGACAATAATATTGGTAAATTTACATTCATATTTTTAAAATATTTCCGAAGATTATGTAGTACATTTCTGGATAGTAAATTTAAAAATTTAAGTAAACAAAAATGTTTATATTTCATTGATTTTCACCAGGCTTCTGACTATGAAGTGCCATGTGTCTCTTCAAATCCTTGGATTGAGTAAATTCCTTATTACATTTATAGGAATGCTCTCGTTATGAATCAGCATGTGTTTTTTCATATGACCTCTTTCTGTGAATGTCTTTTTGCATAGATTGCATTCATGAGGACGTACTCCACTGTGTCTCAGCATGTGATTTTTTAAACTACCTGATTGCGTGAATGTTTTTTTGCATATATCGCATTCATGGGGACGTACACCACTGTGTATCAGCATGTGACTTTTCAGATCACCTTTTCTCATAAATGTCTTTTTGCATATATTACATGCATGGGGACGTAATCCACTGTGTATCAGCATGTGTTTTGTTAGATCACTTGTTCTCATAAATGTCTTTTTGCATATATTGCATTCATGAGGACGTAATCCACTGTGTATCGGCATGTGATTTTTCAAATGACCTAATTGTGTAAATTTCTATTGCATATATTGCATTCATGGGGACGTACTCCACTATGCATTGGCATGTGACTTTTCAAATGACCTAATTGTGTAAATTTCTTATTGCATATATTGCATTCATAAGGACGTACTCCACTGTGTATCAGCATGTGACTTTCCAGATTACTTGATCTTGTGTATGTCTTGTTGCATATATTGCATTCATAAGGACTTACTCCACCGTGTATCAGCATGTGACTTTTCAGATTACATAAATGTGTAAATGTCTTATTGCATACATTGCATTCATAGGGGCGTATTCCCTTATGAATTACCATGTGTTTTTTTAGATAATTTATTGTTGCGAATGTCTTATTGCATATACTGCATCGATGGGGTCGCTCACCACTGTGAATGAGCATGTGACTTTCAGATTAGATAATTGTGTGAATCTCTTATTGCACGTACCGCATTTGTGAGGGCGCTCACCACTGTGTATGAGTATGTGGTTTTTAGTTCATTTAATTGATCAAAATCCTTGTAACAGATTTCGCATTTGAAAGATCTTTCTTTGCTATGCTCTTTTAAATATTCGATTCTGCAAATGATCTATTGCAAAGGTCAAATTCATAAGTTGTTGTCTCGACTAACTCCTGTTTGACTTCTTCTTCAATTGTCACTTCGGAATTCATGAATCTTTGTAAACACGTATCATCATCTTCAGAACACGATTCAGATTTAACAGTAACGTCAGGATCATCAAATTCATCCTCCATTTCGAGTTTAATGTCTTCTGGCGAATATTCTGGTGGCTCAATTTTAATTGCCTGATTATTCATAGGCATAATTGTTTCCTCCGACATTTTCAAATATTTTCATAAAAAATATATTATAATAAATTACAACTTAGTTTTCATTACATTTACTATTTGACATTTGAAGCATAGAGAGTATATTTCTAGAAAGATGAGACATTATTTAACGTGGCGCGTCTTTTCAAAATCAATATAGGTCTCTATGTTCTACTACTCTCGCTACTCTGCTACAAACAAACTCTATGCTTCAAATGTTAAATCATACTCTTCTTTTATCCATGTGTTAAATAATAAAAGTAAATGAGGTTACCGGTTGTGAGGATGCCAATTATATACGCGTAAATAATTGATCATATTGAAAATAATTATTGATTAAACTAGATTATTATTTAGCACACAACTATTTTCGTTAATTTTTTCTGAGTGTAAACAGTGTAAATATAAAAATGGCGGAGGAAACAATTATGTCTATGAATGATCAGGCAATTAAAATTGAACCACCAGAATATTCACCAGAAGACATTAAACTCGAAATAGAGGATGGTTTTGATGATCCTGATGTTAAATCTGAATCGTGTTCTGAAGATGGTGATACGTGTTTACAAAGATTCATGAATTCCGAAGTGACAATTGAAGAAGAAGTCAAACAGGAGTTAGTCGAGTCATCAATTTATGAATGTGACATTTGCAATAGATCATTTCCAGAATCAGACCATTTAAAAAAGCATATGGCCGATCATATTCCTAGTAATAGCAAAGAATGTTCTTTCAAATGCGAAGTCTGTTACAAGGCTTTTAATCGATTAAGTAATCTGAAAAGGCACATGCTCATTCACAGTGGTGAGGGCGCCCATGAATGCAATTTATGTAAAAAGACATTCACAGCAGTGGAGTATCCCCAGAATGTAGCAATAAGACATTTACAGAAAAATCATCATGCTGATACACAGTGGAGTACGTCCCCATGAATGCAATATATGCAATAAGACATTCACAGAATTAGGTGGTCTGAAACGACACATGCTGACGCACAGTGGGGTTCGCCCTCATAAATGTGATATTTGTAATAAGTCATTCACACTATCATCTAGTCTGAAAAGTCACATGCTGATACACAGTAGTGTACGTCCTCATGAATGCAATATATGCAAAAAAACATTCAGGCATTTATGTAATCTGAAAAGTCACATGCTTATTCACAGTGGTGAGCGTCCCCATCGATGCAATATATGCAAAAAGACATTCACAGAAAGAGGTCATATGAAAAAACACATGCTGATTCATAAACGAGAGCATTCCTATAAATGTAATAAGGAATTTACTCAATCCAAGGATTTGAAGAGACACATGGCACTTCATAGTCAGAAGCCTGGTGAAGATCAATGAAACATAAGCATATTTGTTTACTTAAATTTAAATATTGTAAATTTTTCTTGCATGTAATGACATGTAGAAATAGTATGAAATATACTGTACACATTACATAGTATAAATATCATTTCATAATTTTTTATTCATAATTAAATTTTTATAAATTAAGTATTATTAATTTGAATTAGTAACCATTGGTTTCAGGTTCAAATACAAATTGGTCAGGAGTAGCTTTAACTTTCTAAGTTTAGAAGTTATTATGAATTTTAAAAAATATCTTTACACATGGCAATATATACCAGAAATATGCCACATTAACTTTATTTTCTTTTTAAATAGAAACGTAATTTTTTTGTTTGAGAAAATATTTTAGAAAATTTATTCAGCTATAACTTTTTCAAAGACTATATTTATATTTAGTTATAATAAGTAATTTAAAAGTTATTAGTAAAAACACGAAACAATGTCTTTGTTCCACAAAATGGCCGACACGTTTTCAACATTATGCAAGTTTAAAATTATTTTAAAAATATAAGCAAGAATTTTACATAATCTTTGTCTGAGAAAATGTTTTAGTGAATTTATTCAGCAATAACTTTGTCAAAAACTAGAGTTAGTTATGCAAAGTAATTTAACAGTTATTAATAAAATTCAAAACAATGTCTTTGTACAACAAAATGGCCGAGAAGTTTTCAACAATATGTGAGTTTTAAACATTTTGTTTAGTTATTTTCATAGTATCGCGCAATTACGAGAAGTAGACTCGATTTTATCTTTTATTTTCAACTGTTAATAAGTTTGTTAATGACTACAGAATACTGTAACGTAATTACGGTATATGTTTTTTTTAAATTTTTAATAAAACCCTAATAATTGGGTTTGAAGTGACTACTATTTCGTAAGAAAGTACACGATTTTTTTCACTTATTTGCATTATTCCAATATACCTAGAATATCGTAGTAATGAGATAATCATTTGTTTCTACCTTCTCATCTATGATCAATTATTTCTGTTACATAAATTGAATTCATATTACGGATATTATTTTCATGTAAATTTTATTCTTTGCACTTTTATTTATTTAAATTTATGTTATTATTTATCAATATTACTTGATGTTAATAATTTAGCAGTTGTAATAATTATTGAAAATAAAAAAAAAACATAAATTGAATAAAAATACAGGTAAACCCAGTATTGCCCAGTATAGCGCACGGGTTCACAAGTTTAAATTTTAATATTTATTTCAAGTTTATATTTTTGTTTAATCGACGTTAAAAATTATTCCTTTATTGTTTCATTTATTTGATTTACCGAAACTTTCAGCATTGATAATGATTATTATACTATTACTATAACAATACCAGCCTTTATTAACTTCCCTTAGGGTAAGTTATTGTAATGGGCCGAAAATCGGAATTGAAAATTTTTACATTTCTCGACGTTTTGAAGGTTTCTGAACATTTTGGCATACCTCAGAAAAAATGGATGTGTGTGTGTGTGTATGTATGTATGGATACAAATTTTCGCCCACGTTTTCGGGCGTACGGATCAACCGATTTGAAAGGTTCAAAAAACATTCGATTCCTATCGATAGGGAAAAGAGCTGATTAGTTTTTGGCAAAGGCAAGTCCAGCCGTTTCGGAAATACGAAGCAAAGAGTGCAGAAAATAAAAATCGACTTTTTGAGAGAACGGAGTATCCGATTTGAATGATCTAAAAAACATTCAATTAGTAATGATTGGGAGAAGTGTTTAATAGTTTTTGGCAAAGGCAGGTCCTGCCATTTCGAAGATACGGAGCTAAATATATAAAAAATGGCAGTTTCTGAGAGAACTAAGCGTCCGATTTAAATGATTCAAAGAACTTTCTGCTTGTCTTAACAAAATAATTGATTTTGGAAAAAAAAAATTCAACTTTTTTTTTTTTTAATTTTATTTTTAATTCTGACTGTAGTTCTAATATACTTTACAAATAATTTCAACTTTGCAATTTAGTTTATATAATTCTTATAAATATTAGACAATGTTACAATATTTATAATAATCTATTTGAAAACATTCAGTATTCCTCGAACATTTCGTTACGGTACGGGAAGTTCCAGCAATTTGCCTTAAGGCACGATGCCATAATTGCCTCAAGACAGAATTCCACTTACAGCTAGTTTTATTTTTATTTTAGAAGTCTTTCAACTTCTTATATTTTCATGATTGTTATAAAACTGAATAAATGTTTAAAATTATATCAAAGTATTATTTTATAATTATTAACCATATTTTTAACTTCCCGAAGGAGAAGTTTATGTTTTCATAAAAAAATCCGATTCGCTAATTTTATGTTTTCTCGACGTTTCAAGCCATTCTGAATCGAATGAGATTTTCCAAATTTGGAAAAAGCATGTGTGTGTGTGAACAGATTTTTTGCCATAAATCGACGTTTTCTCAAAAACGGCTGGACCTATTTCAAAAATTTAAAAGCCATTCGATGTATCTCGATGAGGACTATTGTTTGTCAGTTGTGTGCGACGATTGGCGGGGCCGTTTCTTTGTAAATTGCAGAAAAGTGAAAAAAACTTCGTCCACGTTTCAGCCCGTAATTGTGAATCGATTTTGAAAATTAAAAAACCATTCGATAGATATTGGTTGGGAATCGTGCTGATTAGGTTTTGGCAAAGATCGGCCGGGCCGTTTTCTTCTAATAAATTGTTAGAAAATTTTTTTTCGACGATTTCGTAAAAATTCGTCAAAGTTTGAAAAAATTAGTATGATCTTTATTTTGGCATTTGTCAAAATTAGAACTTTCGTCGACGTTTGCTCAAAAACGCCTAGAACCGATTTCAGAAATTTAAAAACCATTTGATGTGTCGACTCGATGAGAATTATCGTTTCTCAGTTTTGTGCAACGATCAGCCATTTCGTTGTAATTTGGAAAAAAGCGTTAAACTTTTCGTCCACTTTTAAGCTCATACTACCGAATCGAATTTTAAAAATCCAAAACTGTTCGAATTTTATTAGTTGGGAATGATACTGATTAATTTTAGGTGAAAATCTACCGAGCCGTTTTCTTGTAGTCATTATAAATCTACTCGGAATACTTTTACTCACTCATAAATTTTTTTTTATTGATTAAGTCAATTATTTACACATATCGGGAAGTTCATGTAACTTGCCTCAACCCCAAATACCAATACCAACTAGTTATAATTTTAATTAGTAGAACAAAGAAATAATAGTTGATCTGGAATAAATAACTTTGAAAATGATTTATCGTTATTCATGCATCATTTGAGAATATAATAATATAATTAATATTCGTTCACACAGTGGATTATGTCAAACAACGCCTAAACAAATATTGTTTTCGCAACTTTTTTGCACTCATCATGTAATTGTGCTTGAAGAACTTCATGTAATTAAAATTAACATACATTCATTGACTGCTTGTATTTTTTAACTTCCCGTAGTAATGGGCCGAAAATCGAAAATGAAAATTTTTGCATTTCTCGACGTTTTGAAGATTTCTGAACATTTTGGCATACCTCAGAAAAAATTGATGTGTGTGTGTGTGTGTTTTGTATGTCCGCATTTTTTCGTCCACGTTTTCGGGCGCACGGATCAACCGATTTGAATGGTTTAAAAAACATTCGATTCCTATTAATAGAGAGATGTGCTGATTAGTTTTTGGCAAAGGCAAGTCCAGCCGTTACGGAGATATGGAGCAAAGAGTGCAGAAAATAGAAATCGAGTTTTTGAAAGAACGGATCAACCGATTTGTATGATCCAAAAAACATTCAGTTCGTAATGACGGGGAAAAGTGGCTATTAGTTTTTGGCAAAGGTAGGCCCAGCGGTTTCGGAGATACAAAGCTAAATGTTAAAAAAATGGCAGTTTTTGAGAGAACTATGCGTTCGATTTAATTGATTCAAAGAACTTTCTGCTTGTTTCAACAAAATAATTGCTTTTGGAAAAAAAATTTTGTTTCTAATTTTTTTTTCAAAAAATATTTTTGTAATTTTTGATTAAGCACTTTTCCAATTTTGTGAAAACTATTGAAAAATGTGAAAATGCCGCCAAGCTAAGCACAGTATAAGTAAAAATGTCGCACAGAATTATTTGAAGAATTATACGGGAGCACTTTTTCAATTTTGTGTAAAATAGGCAACTGTTTATTTTTTTTTTTTTTTGAAATTGAATTCGAGATGAAATGACGATTGTTAATGCTCTGGAGATAAATGGATTTATGATTTACATTTGATTTGCTCAGATATAACAAGATAGCAAAAATATATTTTTATTAACTTCCCGAAGGAGAAGTTTATGTTTTCATCAAAAAACCCGATTCGCTAATTTTATGTTTTCTCGACGTTTCAAGCCATTCTGAATCGAATGAGACCAAATTTGGAAAAAGTATGTGTGTGTGTGTGTGTGTGTGTGTATGTGAACAGATTTTTTGCCGTAAATCGACGTTTTCTCGAAAACGGCTGGGTCGATTGCAAAAATTTAAAAGCCATTCGATGTATCTCGACGAGAACTATTGTTTGTCAGTTTTGTGCGACGATCGGCCAAGCCGTTTCTTCATAAATGGCAGAAAAGTGAAAAATTTTTCGTCTACGTTTTAGCCCGCAATTCTGAATCGATTTTGAAAATTCAAAAACCGTTCGAAAGATATTGGTTGGGAATCGTGCTGATTAGTTTTTGGTAGAGATCGGCCGGGCCGTTTTCTTGTAATAAAGTTTTTTAAAAAAAAAATTCGACGATTTTTATGATTATTTTTTTGACGATAGATACCATAGTCTTCTAGATCATACAAAAATATTACGGCGCTACGACAACTGGTTCAGCTTTAAAAATTCGTCAAAGTTTGCAAAAATCAGTATGGTCTTTTTGGCATTTGTCAAAATTAGACTTTTGATCGACGTTTTCTCAAAAACGCCTGAACCGATTTTAGAAATTTAAAAGCCATTTGATGTATTTCGGTGAGGACTATCGTTTGTCAGTTTTGTGCAACGATCTGCCAAGCCGTTTCTTTGTAATTTGAAAAAAACTTTTCGTCCACATTTAAGCTCATCCTACCGAACGATTTTAAAAAATCAAAAACTGTTCGAAAGATATTAGTTGGGAATGGTACTGATTAATTTTAGGTGAAAATCTACCGAGCCGTTTTCTTGTAATTAACTGTTGAAAAAAAATTTAAGCCGATTTTCATGTAAATTTTTTTGGCGATATACATCATGGTCTTATAGAACTTACTGTAATATTACGGCCTAACGACAAGTAGTTTAATTTTAAAAATTCGTCAAAGTTTGCTAAAATTATTATCGTTTTTTTTAAAGTAGGATTAATGAAGTATATTATTTACACATTTTTTTTATTAAGTCGATTATTTACACATTTCGGGAAGTTCATGTAACTTGCCTCAAGGCTAATAAATACCAAACCAACTAGTTATAATGAAATTTATTATAATGAAAGTTACAGTATTTGTAATAATATATTTGAAAACGTTTAAAATTTTTCGAATTTCCAGCAATTTGCCTTAAGGCACGATGCCATACACCACTAGTTAATTTTAAAATTCATGTATATGGTTCAAACAAATGTCCTCGACATTTTCGACAGTGAAATAACCGATTTGAATAATTTAAAAAACATTTGATTCGTATTGATAAGGAAACGTGCTGATTAGATTTTTGCGAAGACAGATCTAGCCGTTCCGAAGATACGGGGTAAAAAGTGCCAAAAACGGTAACTCAGTTTTTAAGAGGATTTAAACGGAGCGTTCGATTTTAATAATTCGAAAAACATTTTACTTGTATTGATGAAATGAGCAACTGGTAAAATTTTTATTGGATATATGTACATCAAATTATCAGATATTTTATAGAGATCCTAATACTATGCACACATTTCGTGTAAATTTTTTTGGGTTCCGTACCAAGATTGTTAATTTTCAAGTTTTTTAACATGGTTCGAACAAATGTCCTCGACATTTTCGACAGTATGGAATAACCGATTTGTATGATTGAAAAATCATTCGGTTCGTACTCGATCGCAAAGCGTTTTTGCAAAAGGCAAAAAAGGTTATGAAGTTTTTGAGAGAACTTTAATCCGATTAGATTAATTCAAAAAACATTTACAGAAAATTTAGTAATTTTGAAAATTAAAAAAAAAACAAAATTTAAAAAAAAAATCAAAGTTTCCAAAAATTCAAATTTTCGAAATTTTTCATCATTTTCAAAAAAAAACTTAATTTTGAAAAAGTTTAAGTTTTAAAGTTTTTTTTTAATTTTTTTTAAAGTTGAATTCACTCCTTCAATAAGAAGTCATATTAATCTAAATTAACATATACATTGATATAATAATCTAAATTAATATATACATTAGACCAAATATAACACAGAACCTTTCTGGGAACTATAAGAGACTGATATGATTCCAAATTTTATTGAACCGATATGGCTTCAAGTATCAAAACGCTTGCTTCCATCTAGTATATTTGTCATTCTCTGAAACACTTTCTTAGACAAAAATATTGTAAAATTTCTGGTTTTATGTTTAATATATTTTTGAAGTTTCTTAATATTGATACATCTAGACTAGAACATTGTGAAGCTTTTTCAATATTTTTATTAATAACTTATAAATTACTTTCTATAACTAATTACAGTCTTTGACAAAGTTATAGCTGACTAAATTCTCTAAAACATTTACTCAGACAATAATATTGGTAAATTTACATTCATATTTTTAAAATATTTCCGAAGATTATGTAGTACATTTCTGGATAGTAAATTTAAAAATTTAAGTAAACAAAAATGTTTATATTTCATTGATTTTCACCAGGCTTCTGACTATGAAGTGCCATGTGTCTCTTCAAATCCTTGGATTGAGTAAATTCCTTATTACATTTATAGGAATGCTCTCGTTTATGAATCAGCATGTGTTTTTTCATATGACCTCTTTCTGTGAATGTCTTTTTGCATAGATTGCATTCATGAGGACGTACTCCACTGTGTCTCAGCATGTGATTTTTTAAACTACCTGATTGCGTGAATGTTTTTTTGCATATATCGCATTCATGGGGACGTACACCACTGTGTATCAGCATGTGACTTTTCAGATCACCTTTTCTCATAAATGTCTTTTTGCATATATTACATGCATGGGGACGTAATCCACTGTGTATCAGCATGTGTTTTGTTAGATCACTTGTTCTCATAAATGTCTTTTCGCATATATTGCATTCATGAGGACGTACTCCACTGTGTATCGGCATGTGATTTTTCAAATGACCTAATTGTGTAAATTTCTTATTGCATATATTGCATTCATGGGGACGTACTCCACTATGCATTGGCATGTGACTTTTCAAATGACCTAATTGTGTAAATTTCTTATTGCATATATTGCATTCATAAGGACGTACTCCACTGTGTATCAGCATGTGACTTTTCAGATTACTTGATCTTGTGTATGTCTTGTTGCATATATTGCATTCATAAGGACTTACTCCACCATGTATCAGCATGTGACTTTTCAGATTACATAAATGTGTAAATGTCTTATTGCATACATTGCATTCATAGGGGCGTATTCCCTTATGAATTACCATGTGTTTTTTTAGATAATTTATTGTTGCGAATGTCTTATTGCATATACTGCATCGATGGGGTCGCTCACCACTGTGAATGAGCATGTGACTTTTCAGATTAGATAATTGTGTGAATCTCTTATTGCATGTACTGCATTTGTGAGGGCGCTCACCACTGTGTATGAGTATGTGCTTTTTTAGTTCATTTAATCGATCAAAATCCTTGTAACAGATTTCGCATTTGAAAGATCTTTCTTTGCTATGCTCTTTTAAATAATCCGATTCTGCAAATGATCTATTGCAAAGGTCAAATTCATAAGTTGTTGTCTCGATTAACTCCTGTTTGACTTCTTCTTCAATTGTCACCTCGGAATTCATAAATCTTTCTAAACACGTGTCATCATCTTCAGAACACGATTCAGATTTAACAGTAACGTCAGGATTATCAAATTCATCCTCCATTTCGAGTTTAATGTCTTCTGGCGAATATTCTGGTGGCTCAATTTTAATTACCTGATTATTCATAGGCATAATTGTTTCCTCCGACATTTTTAAATATTTTCACACAAAAAATACAAAATAGTTGTGTGCTAAATGATAGTCTACTTTTGTCTATATTTTTTTTAATATAATAAATCATTTCAACTTAATTTTCATTACATTCTTGTTCATTTCATACTTGTTTATCTATGATTACATTTACAATTTGACATTTGAAGCATAGAGAGTATATTTCTAGAAAGATGAGACATTATTTATCGTGGCGCGTCTTTTCAAATTCAATATAGGTTCTCTATGTTTCTACTCTCACTACTGCTACAAACAAACTCTATGCTTCAAATGTCAAATAATAAAAGTAAATTTATTAAATTAAAGTTAAAGTAATTGATCATATTGAAAATAATTATTGATTAAACTAGACTATTATTTAGCACACAACTATTTTCGTTAATTTTTTCTGAGTGTAAGCAGTGAAAATATAAAAATGGCGGAGGAAACAATTATGTCTATAAATGATCAGGCAATTAAAATTGAACCACCAGAATATTCACCAGAAGACATTAAACTTGAAATGGAGGATGAATTTGATAATCCTGACGTTACTGTTAAATCTGAATCGTGTTCTGAAGATGATGACACGTGTTTGGAAAGATTTATGAATTCCGAGGTGACAATTGAAGAAGAAGTCAAACATGAGTTAGCCGAGTCATCAACTTATGAATGTGACATTTGCAATAGAACATTTGCAGAATCAGACGATTTAAAAAAGCACATGGCCGATCATATTCCTAGTAATAGCAAAGAATGTTCTTTCAAATGCGAAGTCTGTTACAAGGCTTTTAATCGATTAAGTAATCTGAAAAGGCACATGCTCATTCACAGTGGTAAGCGCGCGCTTGAATGCAATATATGCAATAAGACATTCACAAAATCAAGTAGTCTGAAAACTCACATGCTTATTCACAGTGGTGAGCGCGCCCATGAATGCAATATATGCAAAAAGACATTCATGAGAACAGGTGATCTAACAAAACACATGTTCATTCATAATGGATTACGCCCCCATGCATGCAATATATGCAAAAAGACATTTACGCATTCATTTAATCTGAAAAGTCACATGCTGATACACAGTGGTGTACGTCCCCATGAATGCGATATATGCAAAAAAACATTCACGCAATCAAGTAATTTAAAAAAACATATGCTGATACATAGTGGAGTACGTTCCCATGAATGCAATATATGTAAAAAGACATTTATACAATCAGGTGATCTGAAAAGTCACATGCTGATACACAGTAGAGTACGTCTCCATGAATGCAATATATGCAAAAAGAAATTTACACAATCAGGTAATCTGAAAAGGCACATGCTGATACACAGTGGAGTACGTCCTCATGAATGCAATATATGCAAAAAAACGTTCAGGCATTTATGTAATCTGAAAAGTCACTTGCTTATTCACAGTGGTGAGCGACCCCATCGATGCAATATATGCAAAAAGACATTCACAGAAAGAGGTCATATAAAAAAACACATGCTGATTCATAAACGAGAGCATTCCTATAAATGTGAAGAATGTAATAAGGAATTTACTCAATCAAACTATTTGAAGAGACACGTGGCACTTCATAGTCAGAAGCCTGGTGAAGATCAATGAAACATAAGCATATTTGTTTACTTAAATTTAAATATTGTAAAATTTTCTTGCATGTAATGACATGTAGAAATAGTATGAAATATACAGTACACATTACATAGTATAAATATCATTTCATAATTAAATTTTTATAAATTAAGTATTATTAATTTGGATTAGTAACCATTGGTTTCAGGTTCAAATACAAATTGGTCAGGAGTAGCTTTAACTTTTTAAGACTGTATTTAATTTTAAACAGAAGTTTAGAAGTTATTATGAATTTTAAAAAATATCTTACAACATGGCAATATATACCAGAAATATGCCACATGAATTTTTTTTTTTAAATATAAACGTAAATTTTTTGTCTGAGAAAATATTTCAGAAAATTTATTCAGCTATAACTTTGTCAAAGATTATATTTAGTTATGATAAGTAATTCAAAAGATATTAGTAAAAACCGAAACAATGTCTTTGTTCCACAAAATGGCCGACACGTTTTCAACATTATGCAAGTTTAAAATTATTTTAAAAATATAAGCAAGAATTTTACATAATTTTTGTCTTAGAAAATGTTTTAGTGAATTTATTCAGCAATAACTTTGTCAAAGACTAGAGTTAGTTATGAAATGTAATTTAACAGTTATTAATAAAATTCAAAACAATGTCTTTGTACAGCAAAATGGCTGACACGTTTTCAACATTGTTAAAGTTTAAAAATGTAAGCACAAACTTTACATCATTTCTGTCTGAGAAAATATTTTATAGAATTTATAAATTATTCAGCTACATTTTTCTTAAGATAGTATTAAGTTATAAACTATAGTTAGTATTGGTATTTTGCCTTGAGGCAAGTTACATGAACATCCCGAAATGTGTAAATAATCGACATAATCAATAAAAAATAAATTAATTTATGAGTGATTATAAGAATTCCGAGTGGATTTATTACATATCATTGCAAACAAACGAACGAATACGTTAACTCGGAGTATTTTCTAAAAGCAAATTTTCAAAATTCAATAATTTTTATAATTGAACCAGTTTCCGTAGGACTTAATTGTTTACTATGTTCAAGACCAAGTACACTATCGTTATACCAACTAAATCATCTAATTTTATTTTTAACAAACGTCAAAAAAACTACTCATTTTCTCATACTTTGATGATTTTTTAAAATTAAACTACATGTCGTAAGGCCGTAATATTTTAGTATGTTCTATAAGACCATATGATATATATCGCCAAAAAAAGTTCTATGAAAATCGGCTTAAATTTTTTTCAATGGTTAATTACAAGGAAACGGCTCGGTAGATTTTCACCTAAAACTGATCAGTATCATTCCCAACTAATATCTTGTGAACAGTTTTTGATTTTTTAAAATCGGTTCGGTAGTATGAGCTTAAATGTGGACGAAAGTTTTAACACTTTTTTCCAAATTACAAAGAAACGGCTCGTCCGATCGTCGCACAACACTGAGAAACGATAATCCTCATCGAAATACATCAAATGCTTTTTAAATATCTGAATGGGTTCAGGCGTTTTTGAGCAAACGTCGATGAAATTTCTAATTTTGACAAATGTCAAAAAGACCATACTAAATTTTGCAAACTGTTCGCGCCAATCAAAGCATGCGGCTATATTGATATATAAACAAAAAAATCATCTATCAGAAATTTATACAAATCAATCAATCAGTCAGAACGTAATCAAAAACAGTATTAAAATTATTATAAATATACTTATAACTTGTTATTAATATAAAATAAATATATACAGTTATAATCAAAGTATTTACAATTGGTCCTTCATAAGGCAAGCAATCACAACATCCTAAATTTTTCATCGGTCCTTACGAGCTGGATTCAACATCATCCTAATTTTTCATTGGTCCATACGAGTCGGATGTGACGTCCAGCAATCGAAGGAGAAATCAAGCAAAACAAGTAAATCAAGATTAAATAAAAAGGAAGATCAAAATCAAGAAGAAGTTCAAATTTGGAGCTACAGCTACAAGCACAAGCAAAACAAGAAACCAGGTTATTCAATTACAATTCCTTCTTATCAATCTTTCCTCATTTAATTAATAAAGTTTAGTACGATCTGTGACAAGATGGAATCGTTAATAACTTTAAAATCACTCAAAACAAGGCAACTAGAAATTAAATCGCAATTAGCATATTGCGAAAAGATTTGCAATCAATGGTCACACATGCCTGTGTGTGAATTGAATATTTCTGAAATAAGCCATTTTAAAGAATATGTAAGACCTATTTTTGACTTGTTTGAAGATACGGTTATCAAAATAGCAACTTTACTTGATGATGAAGAAGAAATTGATAATTTATTTGATAACGAATTAGAAGAGTTTTTTGATAAATACCACAAATGCTTGACAACATTATCAAAGCTTAAACTAGCAGCATTGAATAAATCAGATACTAGTTCGGAATTCAATTTAAATTATACCAAAACAACAAATAATGCAGATAACATAAAACAGCCTCAATTTTATATACCTCAAATAAACATTTCTAAATCAATTTCGGTATCAAATCATGAATCTAACTTAGAAGCTCAAGTAGATATATCTTCAGAAATACGCAAACCATCATACGACGATAAACAATACTTTACTGAAACGGAAAAACAACGCGAAGAGCATTCTATTACTAATACAACTAAGACTATTGACGGAAGTTTTGGTACTATAATTCAATTTGCAAAAAATATCAAAGACATAGGATATAGTAGACAAGAAACATTAAAACGTCATATTTTATTTGCAAACAGAAACCAATTCACCGAATATGATAACCTCATAAAAGCAAGCATACCTAAAATAAGTTTATACTCACCTCATCCAGACGTGTTAAAGTCAATCAATTTAACAACTAATTTTCGCGTAATTTTGGAAGCACCTTGTAAATCCGATACAAGTCTGCTGTTAACTGAGCTACAACTTGTTAGACCGAATATCCGAAACGAAATCTGTTTCATTATACCGAATGTTAAAATTCATACTTCAATGCTAACGGTCGATATAAAGAGAGTGATCGAACAAGTTTTAGTTCAGATAAACGACAGAAAGATTCATCAAACAATTCAGGGAAAAACTTCCAATAACAAAATAAACATGAATCAACAACATACGTTCTTATCTATACGATGTTCAGAACAATCACCTAAACAAAGCATAACTGAACATCTAAAAATATTCGAAATCCCCAGAAATTATTTTAACGTTCATAGTTCATTCACTACAGCTGATACAATAATGAAATTTTTTATTAACAACAATCTCACTAACATTTTAACGCAAGCTAAACTCAATCTTTATGAATTGAAGTCTAACCATTCAAAACTTTTCTTTCCAACTCCAAATTGTCTAAGCACGAAATTACATATCTATACATATAGCGCGCGAATGAATGTGTTTTTCACTTCAAATTCTAGCTATAAAATAAAATTGATAGTGGAAAAATCTAGAATAGCCCTATCAAAATACATCGCATCCTTATACCTCAAACTAAGTGAGGCACAATTATTAAAAATTCTTGCGCGAAAAATGAAACGGGCATTAAGTATCGCGTTTGATAAAAAATTATATTGGAGCGATCTTATTATCACTCTAATATGATTAATATCTCTATTTTTATAAATATAAAATCGCTGTTGCGAATATATTTTATTTATTCAAAACAGAAATGTATGCAAACTACTGGTTACATGTCCGATCTCTCGACATTGAACGCCATTTTATACACATAGTTAATTTATTAAAATCTTTGTAGTGTCATTTATCTTGACTTCTAACTAAAGCATTGCAACGCGCCAAGGTCCATCTTGGCTTCTAACTAAAGACGGCATCGCACGATTGACAATTATTCAATTTAAAATCAAAACAAGTCATGACAATCAAGCAAAACATACTTACTTAACTTAAGTACGCATTAACAAACCATTGCAAAAAACATTGGTTTTAACAATCAAGCAAGACATACCTAACTTAAGTACGCATTAACAAATATTTAAAAACTAAAGACATTGACATCATTCTTAGGTGAAATGGAATTTTGCACGTTGGGGTTCAAATCAAAACTCAAACCTAAAACTTTAACTTATTACAAATGTCACCCCATAGCGCTGTCCAAAGATCCATTCATCTATCAATTATCGATACCAAACCTAAACACATGAGTATTTAAATATTATATCTTTACCACTTATATTTGTTAACAAGATTAAATGAAAAAATGGAGGTTTTTCTATGTTATTTTATCGCATGTCTCTTAAACACAAGATATAATGAATATAGTATTATATTCGAACTAATATCTGATTTAGCGACAAAATGGTTGATGCATAAATCTTGCAAAATTTATTCATAAAACAAAACAATAAGATTTGCTATGAAATGTTATAAACTTTTGCAAATAAATCGAACTAAAACAAGATTACGAATGACACGAAAAAAGGAATATCGTGGAATCATATTCAATCATGGCTTATATTTCAAACCTCAAATTATTCACAGTTCGGAAGAATTCAGACACAGATCGGAACATAGTTGAATATTGCTTAAGCTTCAATACAAAAGATCCTGATCACTTCCATATTCATAAATCTTAAACCTCAACTTGCTATGTGTTAATGCTTGATATCTTCGAAAACACGTTAGCTCAACATTAGCAACTCCAAAATGTGTGCAACAAGAGCGTGTGGAATATGGAGTCAGAATATGAAAACTTTTTTCGTCTGCAAATGCAACCATAATATTCAGTTTAAGGAGAAAATGTCACAGTGCTCCTATAAGACAATTTAGAGAATACTGGACTAATTATTACTGATTGGTCTTATAGCACTTAATAAAAAAAAAAGATAAACTATGATTTCCAATAAGAATCAAGAAATGCAGTTTATTAAATTTGAGTGTTACCAAAACCACTAACATCTACTTAATTAATTCACATTAATGAAGATTACCATTTATTTTGAAATCTATATTTCAAAGCCGGGAGAATGTTCGCGCCAATCAAAGCATGCGGCTATATTGATATATAAACAAAAAAATCATCTATCAGAAATTTATACAAATCAATCAATCAGTCAGAACGTAATCAAAAACAGTATTAAAATTATTATAAATATACTTATAACTTGTTATTAATATAAAATAAATATATACAGTTATAATCAAAGTATTTACAATTGGTCCTTCATAAGGCAAGCAATCAAATCAATCCTAAATTTTTCACAAACTTTGACGAATTTGTAAAGCTAAACGAGTTGTCGTAGGGCCGTAATATTTTACTATCATCTACAAGACTATGGTATCTACCGTCAAAAAAATAATCATAAAAATCGTCGATTTTTTTAACAAAAACTTTATTACAAGAAAACGGCCCGGCCGATCTCTACCAAAAACTAATCAGCACGATTCCCAGCCAATATCTTTTGAACGGTTTTTGAATTTTCAAAATCGATTCACAATTGCGGGCTAAAACGTATACGAAAAAATTTTCACTTTTCTGCGATTTACAAAGAAACGGCTCGGCCGATCGTCACGCAAAACTCAGAAACGCTAGTCCTCATCGAGATACATCGAATGGCTTTTAAATTTTTGAAATTGGTTCAGCCATTTTGGAGAAAACGTCGATTTACTGCAAAAAATCTGTTCACACACACGGCTCGCACACACACACATACTTTTTCCAAATTTGGTCTCATTCGATTCAGAATGGCTTGAAACGTCGAGAAAACATAAAATTACCAAATCGGATTTTTTGATGAAAACATAAACTTCTCTTTCGGGAAGTTAATTATACAAATGAGGGCTTTTAGAAAAAAGGATTTGAAAAATACGTTTTCCAAAAAAGAGTGTGAAAGTAATAACATTTCAAAAAAAAAAAATATTTTGAGTGTCTAATAACACTTTCGAAACCTTTAGTAATGTTTCTGTGTACAAATGAAACTACTCACTACAATTAAATAATATTCATCTGAAACACCCCATTAAATTTATTTGAACCTAATCTGTCAAAACCATTTGACGTTTGACGTATGAGCCGCCATCGATTGTTTCATTTTGAATTGCGCTCCTACCAAAAATTTTAGCTTAAAAATGTAAATTTTCTATGAGGTTTTGAAATAAAATCTCAACTTTTTCACAACCTCTGGATTAGCACGAATTTTTCAAGATTAAGACTGGCCAAAACCGTACAGTCTTTTTAGAGTTTTAGCATACCTAACATAAAAATAATTAGGCAACAAGTTGTTATTTATATATGTTATTCAATATAATATATATTCATGGATTCTTTATTCGAGGCTTTTTTTTGAAACTTATCTAGAAATACACAAATAAAAAATTGTGAATAATAATATACTGTTGACCAAGATTAATAATACTTAATGTATAAAAATTAAAATGTGAATAAAAAATTATAAAATAATATCGAAATAGTATAGTGTTTACTGTATATTTCATACTATTTATACATTTCATTACATGGGAAAATTTTTTACAATATTTAAATTTAAGTAAACAAATATGCTTATTTCATTGATCTTCACCACGCTTCTGACTATGAAGTGCCATGTGTCTCTTCAAATTGTATGATTGAGTAAATTCCTTATTACATTCTTCACATTTATAGAAATGCTCTCGTTTATGAATCAGCATGTGTCTTTTTAGACTACCTAATTGTGTGAATGTCTTATTGCACATGTTGCATTCATAAGAGCGTACTCCACTGTGTATCAGCATGTGAGTTTTCAGACCACTTGATTTTGTGAATGTCTTATTGCATATATTGCATTCATGTGGACGTACTCCGCTGTGTATCAGCATGTGACTTTTCAGATTATTTGAGTTTGCAAATGTCTTGTTGCATATATTGCACTGATGCGGACACTCACCATTGTGTATCAGAATGTGACTTTTCAGATTATTTAATTTTGTGAATGTCTTGTTGCATATATTGCATTCATAAGGACTGTGTATCATCATGTGACTTTTCAAATGACTTAATTGTGTAAATTTTTTATTGCATCTATTGCATTCATGAGGACGTACTCCACTGTGTATCAGCATGTGACTTTTCAGATTGCTTGATTGCGTGTATGTCTTGTTGCATATATTGCATTCATAAGGACTTACTCCACTGTGTCTCAGCATGTGACTTTTCAGATTACTTGATCTTGTGAATGTTTTGTTGCGTATATTGCATTCATGGGTACGTACTCCACTATGCATCAGCATGTGACTTTTCAGATGACTTGATTGTGTAAATTTCATATTGCATATATTGCATTCATAAGGACGCTCACCACTGTGAATGAGCATGTGCTTTTTCACATTACGTAATTGATTGAAAGTCTTGTAACAGATTTCACATTTGAAAGGACTTTCTTTGCTATTACTAGGAATATGATCGGCCATATGCTTTTTTAAATGGTCTGATTCTGCAAATGATCTATTGCAAATGTCACATTCATAAGTTGGTGTCTCGACTAACTCCTGTTTGACTTCTTCTTCAATTTTCACCTCAGAATTCATAAATCTTTCTAAACGCGTATCATCATCTTCAGAACACGATTCAGATTTAACAGTAACGTCAGGATCATAAAATTCATCCTCCATTTCGAGTTTAATGTCTTCTGGTGAATATTCTGGTGGTTCAATTTTAATTGTCTGATCATTCATAGTCATAATTGTTTCCTCCGACATTTTTATATTTTCACTGCTTATACTCACAAAAAATTACGAAAATAGTTGTCTGCTATATAGTCTAGATTTATCAATAATTTTAGTTAACGTGATAAATAATTTCAACTTTTACATTAATTATTTGACATTTAAAGCATAGGGTTCATTTATAGCAATAGAGAGAATAAAAACATAGAAAAGCATAAAGTATTTGAAAAGACGCGCCACTTGTTTCTCGCTTCCGATGTTATGCTGTGTCCCCACTGCACGAATCTGTGTCGAATCCTGTTCGCAACGCTCGCATGCGTTGGCTCTGTGCACGACGCACACTGCGAGCAATTTGATACATTTGAAATTTTTAGGATTCCATAATATTTTTTTTTCTTGATACAGTTCAGTTAGAAGAATAACATCTTCTCTACACATATCCATTTTCAAAATTGAGGATAAGATGCTCAATGCCTTCACTGTACAATTGAACTTATACCGTAATACAGATCAACGTTTATGTACAAGTTTAAAAAAATAACGGATACGAATACAGAATGCAGGTTGACCAACAGTTATCAGCTTTGAATAAAAATTATTAGTTCTATAGTTCTGTACTAAATATAAATACTTGTTCAGAAAAGACTTTGAACAAAAATTCAGTCTGCATATTAACAAGATTTTAAACGATAATTAGCGTAATTGCAAATAATACAATATTATTTTTTGGAGACATTTAATTTATTTTTATTTATAAATATATGATACGTCATATAAGTAGTAAGAGTGTATGTACTCTTATCATGATGATACATGATAATAATTAACTCTAAAATATGATAAATAAAGTCAATCAAAATATATTTTAGTTGGGTATGCATATATTTCAACAAATCTATAACTTAATTAACGATGTATTTCCTATACTAATAGATAAAATTATAATTAGTACATCAATTTTAATGACTGCTTGCTTATTTACATTTTTGATCGCTTCGACCATGTTCGGCAGGGTACGTGATTCTAAAAATAAACCCCCTCCCATTTTCAAACAAAAAAAAAAGAAAAAAATGCGCTATGGACATGCGCAGTGGACAAATTTGAAGGAAATTCGTGCGTTCGCACAGTATCACTCCGCTGCGCAAATTTGTTTGCGACGCACCATTCGTGCAGTGGAGCGCGGCATTATATTTAACTTCACGAAGGAGAAGTTTATGTTTTCATAACAAAATCCGATTTGCTAATTTTATGTTTTCTCGACGTTTCAAGCCATTCTGAATCGAATAAGACCAAATTTGGAAAAAGTATGTGTGTGTGTGTAAACACATTTTTTGCCGTAAATCGACGTTTTCTCAAAAACGGTTGGACCTATTTCAAAAATTTAAAAGCCATGCGATGTATCTCGATGAGGACTAGCGTTTCTCAGTTTTGTGCGGCGATCGGCCGAGCCGTTTCTTTGTAAATCGCAGAAAAGTTTTTCGACGATTTTCATGAATTTTTTTTTGGCGGATACCATAGTCTTATACTTATACCATAGTCTTATTTATGTTTACTTATCTATGATCTTATAGATCATACTATAGTATTACGATCCTACGACAAGTCGTTTAATTTTAAAAAATTGTCAAAATTTGCAAAAATTTGTGTCAAAATTTATAACTTTTATTGACGTTTGCTTAAAAACGCCTGAATCGATTTCAAAATTTTAAAAGCCATTCGATATATTTTGATGTGGATTATCTTTTTTCAGTTTTGTGCAGCGATCAGCCGAGCCATTTCTTTGTAATTTGAAAAAAAGTTAAACTTTTCGTCGACGTTTAAGTTCATACTGCAGAATCGATTTTAACAACATCAAAAGCTGTTCGAAAGATATTATTTGGGAATGAAACTAATTAGTTGTAGGTGAAAATCTATCGAGCCGTTTTCTTGTAAT